AGTGTACACATATTACACTATACCTCAAATATATGTACAATTAGTATGTGTCAATTTAAAAATAGCAAACTTTTAAAAAAGAGTTATTAATAATAGTAAAAAGTATTTAAATAAATCATAAATTGGTGTTTGTGTATTTGGCACAATTTTGGTCTAGCGTACATTTACTCAAATGTATAAATCAATACAGTAAGTAGTGGGTAAAAAGAGATAATTAGTGCTGACATTTTTAAAATAGTGCTGTGTTTACTGAAAAACAATAATGGATGAGAATTGTATTGAGATATGCCTAAACCCCTAGATAGCATCACTACTGGCAAGAACTGTAGGCAATGGCCTGTAAGAAACCCCTGATATGTCAGTGAGGTTGTTCATACACACACAGTCCAGTTAAGTGGAAGTATATGTCACTTAGTTCATGCTCCATAAGGGTGAGGTCGGTTCATTCCCTCCATGTCCATTTGCCAAGTATTCTCTGTTAAATGTTCTGAAATAGGCAATCTACATTTATGCTATAGGGAAAACATTAAACATGGACACACGAAATTTCCTCGGCTCTCCGCTACAAATCATCCCTACTCCACAAGAAGCCTGACAACCACTGCTTATGATGAAATATTTGGCTGTCCCTGACATGTTTCCAAGGACATGATCACAGGAGAGAGTAGTCTGTTAAGGTCACTGCTACAGAGTAAAGAAGCACCCACACTTGGTTTTCCTCAGCTCCTCCACAAGGCAGCGGGCTTCCTCTTGAACACGGTCCTCAATGCTCCTCTTCCCCATCCCAATAATCCGCAAGGTCATGACTGAGAAGCGTCGGATAACTTTCCATGTCTTTCCATTGCTGAAAACGAGTCCTGACACAAGAAAAGCAAAAACCTAGGAGGGTGATTCGAGACAGGGAATAGGGAGCTGACACTTGACAGCTAGACAGATGGGCCAAGCTCTGCCTGAGCAGCTCTTCAAGTCTCTGTTTTCATCCTCCCACCCCCATTACCAATGCTGACACAGGCACATGCACACCTACCATGTCCTTTATTAGCTCTTTCAACTGCTGGTAAAACGCCTCTTCCAGAAAATTCCTCTCCCATATCAATCAGGCCTTCCTTCACTGCTTCATATCCATGCAACACCACAACGGGCTTCAGGCCAAAATACACAGTGAACACAGGGCCATAGACTTTTGAGAACTGGGGAAGGAAGCGCAAATAATAGCAAAAGAGTTGCTATTTTATCCATAAATTTTGCCTGATTCAGACTGATGTTATCATTGTATTTTCTATGCTTTTATTCTGCTACACGCAGCTTCAAATATTTCTGAATTTTACTTATAAATATGATTGTGATTGTTAAACCTGACATTTATGGATGGTCTATTATGTGCCATGCAATGCCAAGGCAATTGGTGCACAGATTACAATTAATCCTCATACCAACACATTCACCAGGTTTATTTGTCCTGTTTTACAAAGAAACCGAGGTTAGAGAATTCCAAATTTATTTTCAGAACTTCACAGCTAATACACAGAAAACCCAATTTATCAGATGCCCATGCCCACCTTGAGACCAATACCCAGCTGATGGCTTCAGAATCCACTCTAAAACTCTTCCCATGGGAATCCTGACTCAGTAGCCCTGTCATAAACACTACAAATGTATAGTTAGAAAGTCACACCAGGTGATTCTAATTTCCAGCCCAGTTTGGGACCTGCTGGTATTACTAGCACAGAAAGAGTGAGCACCACATGGGCAGTGCCAGGAAAAGCCACTTCTCCTGGAAGAACAATTTCTAACATCCTTCAGCATTCTTAGCCAAAGGCAGCAGCTTTTTGCAGAATCCAAAATAATTCTGACAACACCAATTTATTCACTTATGCTGGTCCTGAACCCAAAGCTATTGCCTTGACATCAGGCATAAATTGATTCTTCAGAGAAATTAAATTTTCATGCCAATTCTGAATAAATCACAAGGCAAACATAGTAGATCAGATTTTGAATGAAATCTCTAATCACAAGCACACACTTCCCTTACCATTTACTTTCAGCAAAAAAAAAAAAAGAAAAAGAAAAAGAAAGAAAAGAACAAAAAAAGAAAATCATAGGAAATAGCTATAAAACAAATAAGGAAAGCAGCTCTCCCAGTTTGCCACTTTATTATTTTAATTCTACCCTATAGGAGCCCAAATGTTTCGCTCTCACAAAACACATTACTTCCGACCACTGTTTCTAACAATGACAGATATGAAAAGGCAAGAGGAAACATCAAAGTATTTCACTTTATGATGATCTAATATCATGCCTCCAAGAATATATTTTATTTAAAAATAGGTTTCATTTTACTTACCATTTGTAAGCCACCGAAGGAGCATTAAATATACTTACATTGCTTAAGGATTTGCTGATGTCCTTAACATCTATCTGTAGGATATTTCCAATAATGGGGAGAGGAGTGGGGCCCGGTGGGAGCTTCCCTCTCACAGAACTCTGTCTCCAGAGTGAAAGGAGAAGCAAACAGGGGAGACAGAGCACCAGCACCACAAATGGATCCATTGAACCTTCTCTTCTAAGACAACTGTGGGTTGCAATCCAAAGCTTTTATAACACTCCCTGCTAATTCAGAATGTGGCTCTTTGACATAAAAAGTGATGAATAAGCTAGATCCACTTACACGCCCTTCTGAGTGGACTTTGGCCCACTGACAGAGGTACAAATAAAGTGTTTTTTAGTCTTGCTTTCCTTCTTTCCAGTGCCCACCCTGAACATTCTGGTTTAATTACAGTGGGATGGAGCCCAAGTGTTGGTAATTAAAAAATCAAACCATAACAAAACAAACAAACAAAACAGGTGGGTCCAATTGCAGACATGATTGAGAAGAACTAAGGTAAATAATCTGATGCAAGAAAATTACTCAAAATTCTGGATTCTCTATGAATGACCAGTTGGGATTTATGACTCTCAGGGAAATCAGTGTACTCTGTGATTTGCATATATAAAAATATATGTCATAAGGCTATATCAAACACTGAGATTTTGTCTTTAATAATAAAAATCATTTCAAATAATTAATATACTCTACTAATATTACAGCTGTTTAAATATAAAATTAGTAATATAACTCATGCATCTTGAATGACCAAACATATATCAATCTATTAGTTAATAAATATACAGACCTTTCACCATTAAATCCTAAATGAAAATGCTGGAAGACAGAAATTATTATTTTTTATTTTTGAAATGGGGGAATGGAGACTCTGGGAGAACAGGGGACTTGTCAGTGTCATAGGAGGCAGAAGAGGGATTTAAACCATGATCTTCTGCTGCCCATTGTGGTACGCTATGGCCTACACCACAGCTGCCTTGAGAATAATTTTAGAATTAAAAAACCCCAAACGTCAGTAACTCTTAATGTATACCTCACTGTTCATAAAGAAATGGGCTTCACGAAAAATAGAAGCGACTTATTTGACTACCAGAACACCAGGACCAGTGGTGTTTAGGTGGAAAAATAAAAGATATAATTCTCCCCTCTCCATCAGAGCAGAGGTGAAACTTGCTCGGCACAATGGAGGGAAAAGCCAATCTCAGAGAATTTTAGTGGGGAGGGTTTGAGAAACTCTAGTTTTCCTCCCAGTCACCTCCAGATGAGTCTATTGCAGTTGCGTTTTGTCTGTCATTGTCAGAAGTAAAAGAATGTAATAATGCACAGCAAGAAAGAGAAGTTATAGAACAACAGATGTGGACAGTAGAGGATGAGAGGTAGGGAAATCATTTAACAATCCCACAGCACAGAACCACTAAAATATGCAGACCTGAACAGATGACATTTAGTGGTCAAGAGGATCTAAATACAACTGGAATGATATACATTACCAGATCACTAATGACATTGATTGTGTAAAGGCGTGTTCTGTAAAGACATCATCATATTTATTCTAAATTAGTGTAATTACTTCTAAGCGCTTTTAGTAAAATAATAATAATAATAATAATAATAAATAATAATAATGTATGTCAAGACCCAGTTATACAATGTATTCTTGCTCATGTTTACAGGGATTCTCACAATTTACAGAGAATTTTCACACCCATCATATCTCTTTTGAGTATCTTATTTACTTTCGACTAAGGTAAAATTATTCCCATTTTAGGGAAGAGAAAGCTGGCCCTTAGAGATACAGTGCCTTGGCCAAGGGCACACAAACTGCAGGTGATAGAGCTGAGGCTGTAGTCCAAGTACCTTGCCTCTTGCACCCTCCTTCCAGGTAAGACATTCAGCCCAACCAGCTTCACCAACATTTATTGATTGTGTGGTATGATTCAATATTTTGTGATTGAACCTAATCAATGACTTTCAAAATAAACATTAAATTAGTTAATAATTACAGCACCACTTGACAAAAATGGGCATCAGAAGAGTTTGGTTTTATAACCTTTGAGTGGGTCCAGGGCATAGGGAACCTTTATCCAGGGTAAAAAAGAAACAGTAATTGCTGACTGACTCACATAGCTCTAAACTCTGAAGGAACCACATCACTTTATTTTGGATAAAATAAGTTCAGTTGTTTTCTCTAGAGCAGTCATTTCATTCCTTGAGAGATAGGTGTCCTTCCTCTGCTTCTTGTCCATTCCGCTGAGCCAAGGCTCCTGCTTGGACCTTTCTTTTTATAGAATTAAAGAATCATAAATAATTTAAAGAGAGAAGGAATATCTGAGAACAACTAGTCTAAACCTTGCTTTGTTTTTTAGGAATGAGCAATTGGGGACTCAGTGAGATAGAGTGTCACCGAGGTATCCATACAAGACTTTGTCTTAAAATCCCAGTTTTCTACTCCCAGTTCAGTGATATCTCACAACCCATCTGACAGAATGCCTATCTCATCCCAAATGATTAGGAGGGTATGAGCATTAAGCCCTCCAGAGTCACAGAGTGATACAAACCTCATCTTGGCTAGAGTCATGGATTACAGTGAGTTTTTATTAATCAATAGAATTTATTTTTCAGTTTTAGGTTCACAGCAAAAGTATGTGTTCCCACATAATCCCTCCTCACACCAACCCATACCCTTTCCCACAATGAACAACCCTCACCAATTTGATTCATTAGTTACAACTGATTAATCATCATGGACACATTACCATCATCCAAAATTCAGAGTTTACACAGGGTTCACTCTTTGTTGCACAGTCGTCCCCCTGTATTCACAAGGGATTGTTTCCAGCTGCTGCCCCACTCCCCGCCAAATACCAATATCTGCAGATGCTCAAGTATCTTATACAAAATAGTGTAATATTTGCATATAACTTATACACATCCTCCCATATAGTTTTAATCATCTCTTGATAACTTATAATACCTACTCCAATGGAAATAGTGGTTAAAATGTATTGTTATTTGCATAATATTTTGTGGTTTTTATTATTTTTTTAATAATTAAAAAAATATTATCCACCATTGTAATATCATACAGAATAGTTTCACTGCCCTAAAAATCCTCTATGTTCTGCCTATTTGTTTCTTCATCTTCTCTCCCCAAACCCTTGGCAATAAATGATTTTCTTAGCGTCACCACAGTTTTGCCTCTTCCAGAATGACATAAAGTTGGAATCGTACAGCATGTAGCCTTTTCAGATTAGTTTCTTTCACTTACTAATATGCATATGTTTCCTCCATGTCTTTTCATGACTTGATGGCTCATTTCTTCTTAACGCTAAATAATACTCCCTTATATGGATGTACCACAGTTAGTTTATCCATTTACTTACTGAAGGACATTTTGGTTGCTTCCTATTTGGGGCAGTGATGAATAAAGCTGCTAAAAATGCATATGTGCAGGTTTTTGTGTGGACATAAGTTTTCAACTCCTTTGGGTAAACAACAAGGAGCACAATTCTGCAGTATATGGCAGGCATATTTTAGCATTGGAAGAAACTGCCACACTGTCTAACCAAGTGGCTGTACGATTGTGCATTCCCACCAGCAATGACTAGCAGTTTCCATCGCTCGATATCCTTGCCAATATCTCGTTTTATCAGTGTTTGGAAGTTTACCCATAGTTAAGGGGTGTACTGATAATTCCTTTTTGTTTTACTTTGCAAGTCCCTACTGATGTGTGATGTTGAACACTTTTCACACATTTATTTGCCAACTATATATCTTTTTGAGTAAAGTGTCTATTCAGTTTTTTTGCCCATTTTTTGAAGCAGGCTGTTGATTTCTTATTGTTGAATTTTAAGTGTTTTTGTATACTTTTTATAAAATTCCTTTATCAGATATGTCTTTTGCAAATATTTCTCCCAGTCTGTGGCTTGTCTTCTCATTCTCTTAACAGTGTCTTTGCAGAGTGGAAGTGTTTAATTTTGATGAAGTCCAGCTTATTGATTCTTTCTTTCATGGATTGTGCCTTTGTTGTATTTAAAAAAAAACCAATGCCATATCAAGGTTTTCACCTGAGTTGTTTTCTCAGAGTTTTATGGTTTTGCGTTTTACACTTAGGCCAATTATTTATTTTAAGTTAACTTTTGTAAAAGATATACAGATCCTTTTTTTTTTTTGCATGTAAATAAACACTTGTTCCAGCAACATTTTTTGAAAAGCCTTTCCTTTCTTCATTGAATTGCCTTTATTCTTTGTTAAAAAAAAAAAGCAGTTCACTATATTTGTGTGGATATATTTTGGGCTCTCTCTATTCTGTCCCATTTATCTATTTGTATATTCTCGCCTAAATACCATACCATCTTTGTAACAGGAGATTTACATAAGTTTCAGGTGTGGTCAGTCCTCTAATGTTGCTTTTCTTCAGTATTGGCTGTTCTGGAGATAGCTTCAGTATTGGCCTCTCTGTGTAAGTTTTACTATCAAATGGTCAATATCTAAAAAAGAACTTGCCTGGACTTTGACTGGGATTGCAAATTTCAAATCCCACTTGTTCATTGCTCATATATGGGAAAGCAACCAACTGCTATATATAAACCTTGTATCCTCCAGCCACACTATAATTACTTATTAGTTCCAGGAGATTTTTATTGTTGTTCTTTGGGTTTGGGGGATCTTTTTATTCTTTGGGATTTTCTACATAGAAAATCATGTGACTTGCAAATGACGAGTTTTATTTCTTCCCTCCTAATCAGCATACCTTTAACTTCCTTTTTTTGTTATTGTATTAGGATTTCCAGTATGATGTCAAACAGGAGTTGTAAAAGGGGAGGTCTTGCCTTGTTCTTTATCTTAACCAGAAAGCTTCAAATTTCTCACCATTGATGATGTCATCTGTGGATTGTTGTAGATGTTTGTCATGAAATCAAGAAAGTTCTCCCTTTCTTCCTGGTTTGCTGAGAGTTTCTTTCATGAATGTGTGTTGGTTTTTGTTACATCCTTTTTCTGCATCTATTGCTATCATGTGACTCCTCTTCTTTACAAAGCTGATGTGATGGAGCATATTAGTTGATTTTCCAATGTTGAAACTATCTTGCATACCTGGAAAAATATCCCACTTTGTCCTGACATATAATTTTTATACACTGATGGATGAAATTTGCAAGTACTTTTT